GGCCCAGGGCTCTGAACTTGTCCTCTGTCTGATGTGTCAGTCCCTCCAAATCAATATGTCAGCACCATTCCTGCAGCCCACTGTCATTCTGGCCAGTGAGAGTGATTGGCCCACCACGTTGCCTTCTTGGAACTGGGGCTAGCCCTAGAGCCTTGGGACTACCCCACAGGTAGATTGTCTGACTTCCTGGGGGCATCTAATTGACCCCATATAAGGGGCTCTCCCTGGACAGAAGAAATGGGAACTGGGGCCCATTCTCAACCCTCGTTGATCCCAGGCATTGGGCAGTAATTTACAGAGCTGTGAGGTGCTTCTGGCAACTAGAGCCCCTATAGGACTAGTTTCAGGTTGGGCTGCTCTGCCTGGATGACATAGCTAATTCTGGCTAGTCCCAGGTATCTGAGGGAGACTTAGAAATAAAATTTGAGGAATGCATTCTAATGAAGGGTGGGACAACTTTTTTTGTGTATAAAGGGTCAGAGGGTAAATACTTTAGGCTTGGCAGGCTATATGGTCTCTTTCATAGCTACTCAATTCTGCTGCTGTAGAGGGAAAGCAGCCAGACACAGTATGTAAACAAATGGGCATGGCTACGTTCTAATAAAACTTTATTTATAAAAACAGGCAGTGACTTGGACGTGGCCTGCTGGCCAGTTTCCCAACCACTGTATGTGGCGGAGAGCCCAGGGCAGGGACCTCACTTGCCTGGGTCTAATGATGATAATAGTGGGACTACAGGCTCAAATGATAAGTGTGTCTGTAATTTTGGTAGATATGGGCCAGATTCCCCTCTACAGAGCTGTTATCAATTTGTCATGGTAAATTTATCATTTACCACCAGGATTATTGTCTGTTTCCCTACAGCCTAGCCAAGAGAATGTTTTATTAGATTTTGAATTTTTGTCAATTTGATAGGTGAGAAATGCTATCTCAGTGTGTGGTTTTTTTTTAAGATTTATTATTTGAGAGAGAGAGAAAAAGAGAGCAAGAGGCAGGGCAGAGGGAGAGAATCCTCAAGCAGACTCCCTGCTGAGTGTGGAGCCTGATGCCGGGCTCCATCCCAGGGCCCTGGGATCATGAAATCAAGTTGGTAGCTCAACCAACTGAGCCACCCAGGCGCCCCTCAATATGATTTTTTTTTTAATTTTTTAAACTTTTTTATTTTTATAAAATTTTATTTATTTTGACGGGGGCGGGGAGCAGGAGAGGCTGAGGGAGAAGCAGACTGCCCTGCTGAGCAGGGAGCCTGACATGGGGCTTGATCCCAGGACCCTGGGATCATGACCTGAGCTGAAGGCAGACACTTGAAGACTGAGCCACCCAGGCACCTCTCAGTATGATTTTAATTAGCATTTCTTTTAGTTTGATATTGAGCATCTATTTGGTTTCTTAATGAATTATGTCTTTGGCTATTTTACTATTGGATTGTTGGTCTCTTTCTTCCTGGTTTATAGAAGCTCTTTATATATTAAGGAGATTAGCCCTTAACGTGTATTCTGTGTTGTTTGATACGGTGGTCTCTATGCGTCAGTCAGGTTAAGTGGTTGGTAGTGTTGTTCAAATATTTGAGATATCTCAGAGTGGTTCAAGTGGGGTTGTCCGGCAGGCATGTGGACATACAGGTCTGGAACTCAGGTGAGGGGCCTGGGCTGGAGATATACATTTGGGAATAATCGCTACAGATGGCATTTGAAACAATGGGTAGGTGTGGTCACCTAGAAAGAGTAGATAAAGAAGAGGTCATCAAAACTGAGCTATAGGCCATTCCGAAATGTAGAGAGCGAGGAGGAACCACCAGCAAGCCAGACACGGGGCTTTCAGTGATGCAGAAAAGAAAGCAAAAGGCAAAGGGGATTTTTTGGGAAGCTAAATGAAGAAAGCATTTCAAGGAGAAAGGAGACCTTCATATACTTGTAGAGACCGAATAAGGTAAGAATTCTGACAACTGATCACTGGATTTGGCAACACAGAGACTCTTGGTGACCTTGACAAGTATACTTTCAGTACAGTGTTAGAGACAAAGGCCTGATCTCCAGAGAGTGAAGTGATTAAGAGAAATACAGTAGGCTGCTGGGCAGTGGGGGTTAACCTGATGCCTGAGGTGATACATTCAAAGATCTGTCCAAGCAGTCCTGTGTCTTTCGTGAGCCATATTTAGGGGCTCGAGCACCGGCAAGGCAGGGGCTGTGTTTAACCAGAGCTGTCCGGTGAGTCTGAAGGAGGCAGGTGAGGATGCGTGGACTGATGGACCTAGGAATCGAAGCTGAAAATGAGAGGAGTGCTCAACAGGGAAGAAGTGCTAAAGCAATGGTTTGGAGGTGGAGGTATGGTCAGAGCCTGATTTATTATACTCATCAATACAACAAATATCCATAGATCATTCCATTCTCTTCTACATGAGTTCCACACAGGCTTGATGCCCACCTAGTTTATCAAGAAGTACAACAAGGCTGTATTTCTTACATTTTATTCTTATTTGAGCTTACAACAATTTGAAGATAGCAGATGCCCATTATAAATGGGTATACAATACCATAGATACATTATAAGGCAAGGAAGCCCAATTACTGAAAGACTTCTTAAAATGTATTTCATTTGGCTACATCACTGATAGTGCATGATGAGGAACTTTTGATGTCTCCCAGAAGAGACATTACCATAAAGTCTACATTTTATCAGCTTCTAAACTGTATTTTTTAAAGGAAAAAAATGGTTAGTGAGCAAGAATAAAAATGTTTTTAAAAAGATGATCTCTATATAAATAAAGTGTCTGATAAATTAGTGAAAGAAAGAAGTTTGGAGAGGAGTTTTTATGTTGTATAAAAATAAATACTGTCAATTTATATTATATAAGACTGATAATAAATTATGTTGTGGGTAAATAAGTCATCTTATTAGTTGCATACTTATGTAAAGGCTTTCAGAAAACCAGTAAAAATTTTTTTAAAGGAATATATATCCCTTTTATAAATTAATTGAGCTAATTGGTAACTGATTTTTCCATGTCTTTATTTTTCCCTATGACATGCCTTTTAGACATTTTGTTGCTGTAACCAAGGTTGGGTAGCAAAAGAGAAAGGAGACAGAACTCAAATCAGCCATGCTAGTTACTTACTAGCATCTATGGAAAATATTAAATCAGGGAAGGTGGTGGCCACTAAATGTTCAATGAAATCAGGCATTATTCTTTATTCTGAAGTCTTCATTTATCTGTGTTTTCCTTGGTCTTAGAACATGAATAATTTAGAGTTGGCTATACTTACCATTAAGATAGATTAGATGGAGGTTTCCCTGTCTGAACCCTAAAAGATGTAGCAATATTCTATTCTACTTTAGAAAACCCTGATGCTCCAGCCTATTTCCTGTCAGTTAATTAGTTAGGTACTCTTGGTACACCGGGGGGTCCTAGAAAGAGTAACTGGCTCAGGAGACCAGAGACCCAGATTTTAGTCACGATTTGGGCACTTCACACCCAGGCAATGTTAGAAGTGTAACTTCTCTGCAATTCAGTTTCTTCTGCTGCAAAATACAGATAAGAATATCTCCCTGATCTATTTCACAGGTACTGTTGTGAGTACTATATAATCGAGTGTATTTGAATATGTTTCAGAACATGTAATGCACTAAAGATGATGGTAAATGCTTTAAAAATGTAGTTTGCTGGGCACTTTTTTATGTTATAAATCATGATAGAAATCTATCGGCAAATAGAAATGCTTATGAATCATACAGCCCAAATTTAAATAAGTAATTTACAAATGCTTTATAATAAAATTAAAGAAATTATTTATGGATTTTTTTTAAATAAAAAAATCTTTGCAGCTAAATATTCATTGACTTAATCGTTCTTTCTTTTAAAAGAATGTTCACTATTTGACATTATAACTCTCCAAAGGAGAAAGTCTATAATTAGTTCAGTTCTCTGCCTTGGAAGATTCATTATAAGGCAGAAGAGTGGAATAATTAAAGTTTTAAAATAAGCAAAAATATATAACTCTACACCACAGTCCCCTTACTTTAAAGAGTGTAAGAGGAATACTTCCCCAATATGTTTATAAACAATGTACTATTTATATAATGTTAACACTAACTCACAACTTACATCAAAATGATCAACCTTAATGTACATTTTCCCCTTACCAGTTCAATTATTAGATATCTGATGATCTTGAGAGATTCTACTGCATTTTTAAATGAACTATATGTGATATAAAAATGCTTATCTATTGAATAACTAAAGCATTGGTCAAGTTTTGGAATATAGGTCAGAGTTTTAGAAAAATATATAGGAAACATAGCAGTGTATATGATAGAGTCCCATGTAGAAATAAGCCTGTGCAAATAGGCGATATGCACAGACATGACCAATCATGGAAGTAACCCACCAACTTCTCTTTTAAAATGGTAAGCCTAAAAGTTCCAATAGACTTCTTCAAAAGAGCAAATGAATCACTTGTTCATTTGAAATCTCATAATATAATCATGGTGATATTAAATGGTAGTTTTTTCCATAAGAAAAAACCATTCATTATAATACAGGTAATAAATAGTAAATCCTGGAGAGTAGCAAAATCTGTGGACCAAATGACAAAAACATATCAGTAAAATGTGTTTAAGAACAACTATATAATGCTAATATTTCAATAGCACTATGATCTTTGCTATCAACAATCCAAGATTTACCTCTCCATCCAACACTTCTCTCTCTCTCTGCCTTCTCTCTGTTCTTCTCTCTCTCTCTCTCACACACACACACACACACACACGCACACACATACACACACTCACATAATTTCTCACACCATCTTGTCCCTACAAATGCAGCCCAGTTTATCTTCTGGTTTTGACTATTCAGTCTTCTTAAAAAGATCAAAATTCTTTCAACAAATCAATGATCAAAAATGACCCACTGCTTTCTTTAAAGATCTCTCGAGGTCATTCTGTGTTTAAAGGGTAGCCTGCCAAGACCTTCCAGAGCTGAAATTAAATTCGCACTGGCACAGGGAAAGGTAAGTTTATCTTATGCTCAGCAGAACATATTTAAGTCAGGTTGGGAGCTAGTCGCTGATCATTTATCCTCAGCTAGCAGAGAGGTGGGCATAGTTAAAACTATTAAAGGCTTGGTTTTGGTCCCTTTCATTTTATAGTAGGATTTGCAGGACAGTCCATCTGTGAGATAAGACAGGCTAAAGTAGAACTTGGTTTCCTTGAACCTGGCATTATAAGTTAAACAATAATAAAGTACATTTCTGCTACATCAGTGGTTTTTAAATTATTCACTGTAAACATCCTATATTCTTCCCTATTTAATTAATTTCAGAGCTTGAGCTTGTGTCTACATCTATGTCAAATTACCATTTATTCTATGAAAAGCAGCACAAATACTGTTCATTCTGGTTTTAACACAAATTCCTTAAAAAAATGTTAAGGCCATTTAATTGAATCAGGGCCAACTGAAGATTACCCTGGTAGAAGTCAAACTACTGATTTAAGATTTTTGAAAAAGAGTCATAAGTGGTTGTCTTGTGTTTTCCTCCTTGGGACTTGAGAACAGTTTGTAGGATTTATTAATCTCCAACGTCCCCATCTCGATCTCCAATAAGCCAAAGAAAATGAAAACTTAAGGCTAACAGAGCTGTCCCAAGCAGGTCACCCAATGCCGTCAGATAGGGGATGGAGAAGCTATCCGGGTCCTTCCCTTTCCTCCAGAAGTGATGGACCATCCAGTCAGCAATCCACAGCAAGGTAAACACCTAGAAAACACCAGAGATTACTTCTGGAGCTTGGACACTCCTAGCCCAGTAAACATAAGGCCCACTGGGCCATAAAGTCTACGCCACAGCTTTCTGAAAGGAAGAGCATGTGTCAAAGTCAAGAACCACGCTTGAAAAGAAGAAATATTTAACTGGCAGGAAACTTTTCTTCTCACAAGAAAAAATGCCATGTATCTCCGCAATTAATAATGTTTTTCTTCAACTTTTTACATATACCATCTCATTTTCTTCAAGCTTCCCCCAAATCCCAATAAGCCTTATATTGTACAGTTGCCAAACCAGTTTGTTTCAACTTCTTTCTATATGATAAACCTGTGAAGAAGGAAGACATACAAAGAAGGAAATAAAAATTAAAATAAGGAATAACATTCTCCTATTGCAGCTGCAGCAAATGAAATAAAGATGGGGAACCGACCATTCACTTACTAATTATAAGGCCATGGGTGGCCTGTCAAGGGACATGTCAGTCAATGGTAAGAACAATAACCAGAAGGGAGGTGCAATGAGGAATGACCTATCTCCATAGATGCACAGATGTAGACATAGAGTCAAAATATTTTAAAGCGTGATTCAAATACTAAGGTGATAGATGTAAGTATTTTCTAGGCTATCAGGAATATGAAGACCATCGTAATGCTTTTGAATTTGGGGATCAGATCAATATTTTTCTTTGAATCCTCTAATATTTTTTCTTTGATCCTCTTAATTTCCAAACTCCTTTAGTATTAAAAAGGGATATGGGATTAGAGAGGTCAATGTTCCCTGGTTTTGGACAGTTGGCAGGAACAGCAGCGTGACTGTGAGCACTTCTCCATCACCTACTCGCCAACTGCAGGCAAGTCAGATTCTATTTCTGAGTGAACGTTAGAGATAATAATGGCACCTACTTCATGAGAATGTTGTGAGGATAAAATAATAGACTAAATCATCAGTCATTGGTACACAATAAGCTTTCCCCGGATGTCTGCTACTAGTAGTAGATCTTAAGAGCCTCATTGCTGTTGACAGTCTGGGGCCCCCCAGACAGTGAGAGCACTTGGTGTGTGCAGGAGGAAGCCCATCCCTGGTCCAGGGTCTACGCCAACGGGCTGTAATTTTTTGTTGTTCTGACACGTTGGCCAGGGAGGTGTGGTGTCTGCCTTGAGTTCTAAACTTCTGTGTGCTGTGGTTTAGCTCTGACACCTTCACCAGAGAGGAGACTGACTTGTCTAAACAGAGAGACAGACATGTATCCATGCCAAAGGAGTGAACTTTAGATATCTTTGGACATGTGTCAGAGAGAGAGGCTGTGTCTTAAGCCCCATTTTCCTTTGCGTGAGGCTGTTTCTTTTTAGTGTTTCCCTGGCAAAGACTGTTTTGGGATCAAAGAAAGTTCCATCAGGACAACCTGTGTTATGTGAGGAAGCATGGAATATTAGAAATAATTCTGGACTTGGAAATGGTAGGACGTGGATTTGATTTCCATTTATCAGCTATATGACTTTGGGCAAGCTTCTTCCCACTCTGAGCCTAAATTCTCTCATTTGAAGAAAACCCAAGAGGGCCTCATGTCTGCCATACTGACTTTGAGATAATTCATAAGAGCCTTGGTCTGGAGGCAGAAAGAGGAAGGTAATAAAGCAGCATGAACTCAGGTTACATCAATAAAAGCATAATGTACAGACCACGAAAGAGAGTCATCCACTGGGCCCTGGGTGGGCCAGGCCACATCTGGGTCGTGTGTTTTGTTCCAGATGCCTTATATCCATGGGAACTCGTTCCCCCCTGCATCTTCAGTGTCTAACAAAGTGACTGGCTCACAAAGCAGGCACTCGCTATTTGACTGAATCCATGAGAATCAGTGGGACTCAAAGAGTACCCCATGAGAGCAAGAACTGTTGTCCTGTGCAGGGAGGGCGGGGAACGTAAACTTAGGAAGGTTATGACATTAAGAGGAGACATTAGTTTATAATACGCAGCTTCAGAGGGTAGTTTTAGGCTGTGGGAGAAAAGTTGCCAAAAGACAGAACTGTTTTCAAAAAAAAAAATTGGGGTTGCCTATAAATAGAACAGTTCTGCAGTAAACTCTATATTCTTGGAATACATGGAGGTTCAATAAAAAAACATGCTGATGAGTGAGTAATGTGTACAGGAGGAAACAATAGTTTTGAAGAGAATAAGGTAGCTAATTTCTATGGGATTGGCAAGAAATAGAAATAAATCTATATTATATGTGTCTTATTATATATTTATACAGGGTACAGTTCATATATATTTACATACATAAATCCATGTAATATATAATATCTATCATACATATATGATATGTATACAATTTATGAATTCCTTGTTTAACATCTGCATTGAATGGATTAGATTCATCTAGAACAGGAGTTGGTAAACTACAGTCCATGGGCCAAATTCAATCTGCTGCCTGTTTTTATAAATAAAATTTTATTGGAACTCCACTCTACCCATTCATTTACTTCCTGTCTATTTAGTCTATAATTTAATCCTCACAACATTCTCATGAAATAGGCACTCTTATTCTCCCCAATGTTCATTTGGAGCAATCAAGTCAGAGAGGTTAAGTGACCTGCTTGGCACTACAATGACAGAACCATGTAGTTGTGACAAAGACCATATGGTCCACAAAACCCAAGATATTTACTCTCTGGCCCTTTACAGAAAAAGGTGTGCTGACCCCTACTCAGGAGACACTTATTCATACAGAAAGAAATAAAATAGCATCCGTACCTCATATCCCCAAATAAATTCTAGGTAAGACTCAAGTACAAAAAGCAATACTTGAGAAATATTATAAGACAGTGTCTTACAACCTTGATGTGGAGAATGATTTCATAAGTAAAATGCATAACATATTAGTTTATATTAAAGATTTCCATAGTTCAATAAACACCATATATAAAGTTAGAAATCATGCCCCAAGTTTGGAAATGAAAGGCTCTGCATTGTATATAACTGACAAAGAATTGGCATTCAGAATATTTAAAGAGAATATACAGAGAACTCCTACAGTTCATAAGAAAAAGAAACAATCCAACAGAATAGAAAAGGAAATCCAAAGTGTTAATAAACATTTGAAAAGATGCTCAACCTAATAATATGGGAATGCAAATTAAACCACATTAAACTCCATTTCATACCCATCTGAGTGGTAAAAATCAATTTATAAGCAACAGTAATAGCAAACATTGTTTTTTTAAAATGGCCTTTTACAGGGACATGCGGTGTTCAAGGAGGTTCACATCAACTGATTTAATCCTCAAAGTACCTCTAGAATATACTACGGACTATGATTATCCCTTTTTGACATAAAGGGCATGAAGGCATATGCGAAGTGTAGGAAGCTTGCCAGAGATCACACAGAGATCACACAGCTCGTGGGCAGAGACGGGCTCCAACCCATTTTAGAGTCTAACACTAAAGGCCATGTTATTAAACAGCAGTGCAGCACTGTTTCGGTAAAAAGAACTCTGCATTGGCAACAGGAGCATAAACTGGCACAACTACTCTGCAGACCAACTTGGCAATCTCTGTTAGATTTGAAGATGGGGATCTCCTCAACTGAGCAATTCCACGTAGAAACATGATTTTTTTCCCCTTTTCTTCTGCAACGTGGCTAAGGATAAAACTGTTCGTGGCTGAAGGAGACTGGCCTGGGGGCTTTACTGATCCCAGTCCCAAGTGGCTACTCCAAGAACCGAGAGGACCAATATCTTGGGGTACTTGCAGAAGCTCTGCGGGAAACTCTGACGCTCATGGAAATGTGTAAGAACATTCACTGCACCACTGTCATCGAAGTCCAAAGTTGGAGATAACCTCAAAAGACTACTGACAAAGGAATGAATAAATTAACTCTTAGGTCACACAACTGAACACTATAGAGAAGCTAAAACGAATGAAAAAGAGCTCCATGAATCAACAGGAGTATGTTTCAAAAGCATAACTTCAATGCAAAAAGCAGTAGGAGACTACATAAAGTATGATTCCAATAAGGCTCATAAATATGAAAAACAATACCATGTGTTGTTTATAGATTCATTCCATAGCAGTCGTATAGAAACATGCTTGGCAGTGACACATACCAATTTAGATAACTGCTCGGGAGGGAATCAAAGGAGACCAGGAAGTGATACACAGGAGGCACCAGCCATATACATGATACGTTTTTATTGATCATTTTGAAGTAGTTGCTTAAATAATTTGTTAAGGGTTGATAAAGCCGTGTAGTAAATACAAGGCTATTTTATTTCCTATAACTTCCTGTACATTAGTATTTTATAATTTAAAAAATGTGAGCAGCCAGGGCAGTGGTAAGTCACTGACCAGGGCTGCCCGAGCTACCTCTTAGAATACCTACCCAGGGGGACACCCCAGAGGGGAAGTCAGTGTGCCCTGCCAAGTCCATAAAAGGTTTGGACTTATTAGTACCAAGTGGTGCTGGGGCTAATGCCAAAGGGGTATTTAAGTGTTTGTGTGTGGAGTGAGCAAAGGTCTAATTCTTTCATTATTCTTGCAACTGTCCTCCCCAGGTCAGAAAATAAAGAGATGTTTTCTGGAGAAACTGAAGGGGAAAGTCACAGGACTCAAAAATACTAGAAACTATGAAGTTTGAAGAATGAGGATTAATTGGAAGTCTGCATAGTTAACAATGGGATTCCTTTAGACCATTGCTTTGTTCCAAGAACAGTGGGAAGCAGGAGTATAACCCCCTAGAGAGGACATCAGATGTTCAAATTCGGAGGGTTCCCAGTTAAGTGGCCTATCTCCCGATCCTCCGATAGGAGAGTACTCAGTCAACAGCCTTTTCTTTTTTTTTTTTTTAAAGATTTTATTTATTCATTTGAGACACAGAGATACAGAGAGAGAAAGCATGAGCAGGGAGAGAGGCAGAGGGAGAAGCAGGCTCCTCGCTGAGCCAGGAGCCTGACGTGGGGCTCGATCCCAGGACCCTGGGATCATGACCTGAGCCGAAG